TGGTTAAATGACAGCAGTCAATCTACTTTATTCTATAAAAGCCTGGTCCCATTTTTGATCAAAAAAGATCTCTACACTTTCCCCAGGACCTTCTCTCCTCTAGTGGGGATGCTTGCCAGAGAGACTGATTCTCAGGAGTTATGTCCGACCAAGGACACCCAGCTGTGGCCTGACATGGGTGAGAAATACTCATTCACTGTCCTTTTTAGCAAACTGAACATTAAGTAATGTTAATTATGACTGTAAGATCATTTAAAAATGATGGTTGATGTTCTAGACCTAGCATGGGATTTGATAATAAGTAAGTTACCAGCATTTTAGTGGTTAACCTTTGTTGTTTCATTTAATTATAAGTAGTAAATTCACTGCTGTTATGCCCTTTCCTCCTTAACTGCACTTGTGTTCTTATCTCCCAATTTCCCTATGCTTTTACTGTACTTTTATGCCTCTTGTCCAGGATAATTAAAACCCCAACGTTATATGGAATAAATCTTGATTACTGCATATCCACATTGTCTGTCATCCATCCTGTCTGGGACAGCTGTCAACATGAATATGCAGAACTACCTCCCCCTGCTCTCAGTCTCTGCTGTAAGTGCTCGAAGCTGAACAGGATGTGTTGGTCTTTTCCTTGGTCTGAAGGAGCTGAGAATTCCTGGTCCTTCTCACTGGATGCTTGTGGCTAAGCATGCTCAGCCCTGATCCTTGTAATCCTAGATATGTGCTGCAGCAGTACTTTGATTTGGACTTCTGATTGCCCTACTTGGCTACATTGGCTGTTGTTTTCTTTTTTCTTTTGAAAATTCTAGCATAGCTGTTTACACAGATGGCAGTGAGAAGGAAACCAATTCCTAAGAATATATCTGGAAAATTGAGTTCTTATCCTGAATTACTTAGTACTCATGAATGAAACCTCTGTTTTGCAGTTCTGCAAAGCTCATTTCTCTGCAGGGGAATGAGGGTCAGTTTGCACAAGGAACAGTCCATCAGTGGTAAGGGCTTAGGGACACCAGCAACATGAGGCTACTGCAAACACTGTATGAAACATATGCACGCTGTGTAGTTCATCATTAACAGCTGCTTGAAGAAGGGCTTGGAGAAGGGTAACTCAACTGTTCTGGCCCACATTTACCTGTGTGGAAGGTGTTCAGACTGTTAGAATGTGTTTTTCATGTAAGAATCCATGTTAGTTCGGGACAGATTAGGAATAATATATAACCTGAAACTGAAATTCCTTACAAAAATTGGGAGAAAATTACTTCCTTTCCCACTGCCAGCAGTCTGCTGTTGAACTGAGATGGGCAGAAACTCCAGATTCCCAGTCTTTTGCCATGCAAGTGTCTTCTTTTTGGAGATGTCACTTTTTGCAGTTCTTTTCACTTCCCTTTTGTTTTCTTGAATCTCAAAAGGGAGCAAAAACTAAAGGAACTGGTATGAGGGAAGACTCTTTACACTGTGATTGGGCATATTTGGAATGTGTAAATGGGAGTCCCAGAACCTGGATCTGAATTGAGGTTGGAGAATGGATCCTTTCCCCACTGAAAGATTGATTAGTTACTGGTTCCGATACAGATGTCTTCTTGAATTAGAAACTGAGACTTGAATTTTGAAGTTGCATTCCCAGGTCTGATGCCAAGTATTGCAAAATATTGGGTTTTGTATACAGGTTTCAAGTTCTCAGTGTGTTTCTCCTTAAATTAATGTCACTCCCTTCCCCTTTTAAAGTAAATTGCCTGGAAAAATATAACTGCAGCGTGTTAAACACCATTTTATTTAATAAAAGGCATATATTCAAAGTGATTCAGCACTTACTTGCCCTATAGAAAGCACCAGCTTTAAATTACAGTAGGCCAGCTCTTGACAGGCAACCTTTGATTCTGAAAATGATTGGTTTTATTAAAATGGATGTGTGCAGCTTTCTGCTAAGTTGACACATCAGTGAAGGAACAAAATATCTACATGCTATATTAATGTATCCATTGTATTTCCATTCACATGTTAAGCATTAATGTCTATGTCCTATTTTCTTTTTTTGATTTGGGAGGGTGCTCTTCTGTTGAGTGGTGGGAGAACAGACATGTAGATTTAGGTATGTAAGTGCATTAAGGGCTACTGATGAAAGCATCTGGGTTACAATCATTGCTCTACCAAATATGCCTCAACTTGAAACGTTTGCTGTGGATGAGAGACTATGAATTTCTCCTGGCTCAAGTGGACAGATTTTAGGAATACTTCCATTTTGTGACTGTGGATACTAGGAGGAAAAAGCCATACAGGTTCTGTTTTGTTTTTCTGTTGATTAACAGCCTGCTTCCCAACAGGTGCTGTGTGAATGGCCTGAACTACATGTTAACAATGTGTTAAATTTGGAAATGTTGATTCTGGTATTGAGAAGCTGTTTGTTAGGTAACAGCATATATGGAAAATGCCATTTAATGAGTACTAATATAAATACTCTGGCTCTTGCCTGATCTGTTAGGAATCAGAAGCCCTTTGGAGGGGAGAGGGGAAATCATTACAGCAATACATCTGCCATAGTGGCTGTTCCTTATCTGTCTTGGAAGAATGATGCAGTCTGAGCTGCTCCACCAGCAAACAGGACAGTGTTTATTTTAAGAAAGACACGGTTATTTTTGTTGTATTTAATGCCTTGTGTATTTATTTCCCACTCATTTCCACCCCCAACCTATTTAATAAATAAAATCTGTCCTATGTGAAATCACTGACACCTTTATTTAAATTGAGGTGTTTTTTTCAGGGCAGACTGTGACAGATTGTATAAAACATTAAAAGTTCTGATTATTTTTTTTTCTCAGTTCTTTCCTCCTTCTTCTGCTCCCACTTTTGTATTTCAAATTATTTCTCACAGTGGTTTGAAAAACGTCGTAATTTGAATAATTACAAAAGGATCAGATAAAATACTAGTTAAGCAGAAGGTTCAATCACTGTTTGAAAGCTGTTAGTTCTTTCCTTTTCAGATATTTCTTCCATGCAGTCTCACCTATCAACTCCATTATTTGCCTGTCACTAGGTACAGGACTGTAGGCATATTTAATTTAGACCTTTTTTTTCTTGACTTTTAATTTTTGTTGATGTTTACAGAAACATGGTAGTGGTGACTCAAGCTATTTTTTAATCTTTCATGTCTCAAAGAGTACATACTGTTGTTGTTTTGACCATACAGATTGTCTTTGGAGGCTTAAAAACTGTGGTTATTAGCTGACTTGTACATGTCCTGATGTGTGTGAAGTGCAGACTATAGAACAAATGAGTGAAATCAGACTTTACAGTCACTGGCCTGTGCATTGTCCCAGATCTCAAAAACCAGGAAAAGCTCCAAAGAGCCTTGACATGGATGGAGACTATTCCTCATGTCTTCTCTCTGCTCTTGCAGACTCTTAACTCGACTGTTGACCATTGTAGGGGAAGCTGGAGTCAGGGGCAGCAACCACTGCTGTTTAATATTTTTTGTCCTTCTAAGTTTGTGTGAACAATCTGGTCCTGATGACTCATCAACAGCTTTGTTAAATAACTAAAGTGAGGTGACTGTTCTGACCCCAGTCTCCAACCTTTGCCACTGAGGATCAGTGACTTGTTCCTAATTTGAAATTCCTGTCACATATCAATGTGACAGGAATTTGTCAGCCTCTTGCACTTCGAAATGCCTGCCAAGTGTTCCCTCTGCTGGAACCTACCTGGCCTTTGAGCCTGATTACTGTCATGGTGTGGTGGGTAAAGACATGGTGCAGCCACCACCACTGTTCCCAGACTGTGCTGAAGCAGCTCTCCACTTGGAGACAAAAAGTTTTTCCATACCTCTGTTTCTCTTGATGAATTATTCTCTGGAATATAAATGTTAGCCTACATTAAAATGAAAGTGTTTTGTTGTTTTGGTTTTTTTTTAAAGCTTACTTCTTCAAAGTATGATATTCTCAATGTAAGACTGCTACCACTGTTTTGGTTCAGCTCACTTGCACATTATGAAACAGTCATGTACAGAATCATACTACTTTTAACCCACCATAGACCCAGGAACTGGATGAATAATATATAAAGTGTCTGATTCTGACTGAATGGATTTCTTCAATGTTTCTCATGGAATAGGCATGGGAAGTGAGGCATGAGGACAGCTTCCTCCTGCAGGACAATGCAGCCTGTGAGTGACAGAGCTGCTTCAGCAAGCAGCTGTAATGATTTACCTACACCAGACCTTTCCCTTAACCTTGTTCCTGGAACCCTTTCATGTGAAACACTCCATAGAAATAAGGGTCAGCATTATCATAACTACAGAAAAGTTCAACCCAGATAGCTAATGCTTGCCAAAACTCTGACATATAAGAGAAAAATCTTGTCTGAAAGGTAAAGTGATAATATATAATCTTTACTGGGGATTGTACTGGAATGTGTGCCCAGAGAAAGGCTGCTTTAGGGATCCTTCTGCATATTCAGAACACAGAAACACTCCTGTGGCGCAAAACCACCACTCCTGGCTTAAAAAGTAAAGCGTGAGTGAACTTTAGTTTAGTGGAATAAGCAAGACACTCAAAAAACAGGTCTGGTTATTTCTCATTGAAAAAAAGAGGCAAGGAAAAAAGCTTCACCAGTATCTCGTTTGGATTTTTTTAATGACTAAATGTAACAAAATCCAGCAACCATGAACAAGATAATTGTACACGTAAATCCAGCAACTTCAAATGTGTTAGTCTGTAACTAAATTGTATGAACTGACCTCAATACTTGTTCCCTCCTTACTCTTCCTCCCCCTCTCACATGAAAGATTCATAGACAGTGCAGATCTGAGCCACTGCTCAGTCAGTAGAAATATTTTTGTTACCTTCAGTAGGAAATGTACTAGGCCAGACATTGAAATAAAAGCCTTTTCTGGCCTGTTTTAACTTCCTGTACCACAGTATTTACTTTCATTGATCTGAATTAATATGTTGTCTACTAGAAGGAATCCTCTGCAAGTTCACAGGTTTTCCCTTCTAACATGACTGCTCATTTCAAAGGCTGCTACTTGATTCAGATGTAACATTTAGATGATCAAACATATGTAACTTGAATTTACAATCTAATAATTTAATTTGACAGTGCAAATACAAAACTGGCAATTAAATGGACCAAAAAAAATTTTCTTACAATAAAACTGTTCAATCCTTTCTATTTCAGAAGTAGTCCTTGGTAAATCCTCCTCAACAAACACATTACCTCATTTGTGTTAATAGACTGATCCCATGAAGTAGAATAAAATTTTATAATTCATTGTGTTGAAGACCTTGAGAAATTCTGCTGGACAAGTCCTGCAAGTGCTTCTTTACCTAGCAGGAAAACAAAGGACATCAAAGAGATTTAAATAAGACAATGAACTATCAGTATCATATATTCAGATTTTGCTATCAGTATATGTGACAACACAAAGGGCAAAAACCAGGGAGATTTAAGGTATTTTAAAATTAGGTCTATAAAGCCCAATTATGCATACCCTGTACTAAACACAGAGCACAGGTGTGCCTTAAACTCCCCCTCTGGAAGTCATTCAACTTGCATGAAAAATCCACACTGGATAATCTATATACCCTCTACCACTGAGTTAAATTTTTAACTCATAAATAAAATGGATTTATACAGACCTTATATCCCAGTTCTTTTGTCTTTTCTTCCAGCATGGCATATTTCTCTTTGTTTCTGTTCAGATGATCCTTATCTCCAGTTCCCTCTATATGCTTCAGTTTCTCATGTGAAATCTCTAACTGTTTCTGATAATGATGGTGTTTTTCAATTTTTGCTTCAAAGTGCTTCAGCTCCTCCTAAGACAACAAACACACAGTTTCAGAGGTTTTTCCTTCCAGGGCTTCCTCTGTCTTTTCTTGCTATGATATCCCTAATGCCATTTTACTACATCAAGCACAGAAAGTTTTTTCAGTTCCCTGTTTCTTAAGAACGTCTGGATAATCATCACATCATGACTACAGAGATACCAAATTTTGAAGGGAGGTGCTGAAAATGCTCCACTGCAGAGTCCTGAAAAGGAGACTGCTGATGGCTGTGAAGTGCTGGGACATGACAGCAGTGAATACCAAATGAAAGTTTATACATAGGAATAGTGCAGTAGACTAGGGGGAGACAGGCAATTTTAAAGAGAAGCTTCTTTTCAAAATCAGGTCTTGGTTTTGCTACTTTGTGCTCAGATTTAAATGTTCTGGGTTTGCAGTCTGCTGAGATGACTCTGAAATAGAATGAACTAATCAACAAATAAAAAGCCATCTAACTCCCTTGCCATGGGCAGGGATGTCTTCAACTAGACCAGGTTGCTCAAAGTCCCATCTAACCTGGCCTTGAATGCTTCCAGGGAGGGGGCACCACAACTCCCCTGGGCAACCTGTTTCACTGTTTCACCACCCTCACAGTAAAAAATTTCTTTCTAATATCTAATCTAAATTTACCCTCTTTATCATGGTTCTTTTGGGCCAGTTCAACACAAGAAGTTAACAGTGCAAGAAGTGGGCAGGAGAGGGAAATTGTTTGGTACAGAGAGTATAGTGCTTCCCAAAAAAGTAATTACATTAAGATTGGGTAAGAGACTGACATCTGGTGCACTGGAAACAAACAAGCAAGCAGGGTCTGATCTTTCAAAGATTAAAAATATGCAACTTTGCTTTCACAGGATTCAGAATTTTCATTTTGCCAATTATAACATAACCATGCATATGCATAGTTAACACACATTTACATATTTGAAATATTAAGAAAGAAACATAACTCTTTTTTTGTGGTATCTGAAGAACAATCCAGAAGTGGCTGCACCCAGAGTAACACTGAGTGTTTATTTATGTAGAAAAATATCTGTCCATAAGAGACCTAACTGGAATTCCACTCACCCGAAAAGATTCAAGTTCTTTCTCAGTGAAATTGGCTGATTTGGCCATGTCCCACAAGTCAATCACTCTTGGTTCTTCAAATTCTAAACAAACACCACTAAATTAAAATCTGGACACAATGCATTTATGCTGACCTTCTGTGAAATATAAGCATGCTTTCTCACATACATACAAATAGACATAGTAAGCACTGAATTACTCATAGGTCTATTTAAATGAAAAGGGAGAAAAATCCAGGTACTTGACTTAAAACTATAGTAATGTGTGTGTGTATATATATATAAATAAATAAGCACGTATTTTTTAAAAAGAAAAAACCCACAATCTAGGAACTGAATAATGGCATTGCTTGCTCTGCATGGTGTCTCCCTTACCTGCCCTCCTGGGGCTGAAGGTGTAATAACCCTTGTCAGGTGGGCATGGAAGTCAGAGACATGCCCTTTACAGGTTGTCCCTAACCTCTCCTTAGGCTTCCAGTGTTGGCTTCTAAACAGAACAGGCTGCATCTCTTCAGCCTGTTGTGCTCACACCATGTACTGTGATACTACATCTTACTACTTGCCCACTGATTTTAATTTTAAAAAAATAAATGAAATTAATCCCAAATAAGCATCAAACCCACTGTATCATACCACTGGTTGTGTCATATCCCTGGTGACTGACTTTACGCAAACGCTCAAACCCCTGATTGATGCTTCTTAGCTTGTCTTTGAGTTCTCTGTGTTTGTTGTGCAAGATTTCCTCTTTCACCACGTTCTCTTCAGATGGGTTGATAACATTTTTGTGAATATCTGTTGAAGAAGAAAAGTGTTACTTTGTGTGGGCCAAATCCTGATAGGTCAAAAGCTCCAGAAATCCTCAAAAACTGAGGTGAAAAAAGATGCCAAATATTTGAGCTGAGTGTAAATACTACATACTACATATAATACATATACTACAATCAATACTACATTTTGAGGAGTAATTCCTGTGCAGGTCAATATGAAGATCAATGCCCCTCAATGCTGTGTAGGATGATGTTACAGAAATACCTTTTTAACTCCTACTGGCCACCAGCCAAGATTTTAGTAAGAAAATGTTCTTATTTTCCTAGGTTAGCTATGTCCCAAGGAAATAGGATAGGGGTGGTTGATGAGTCCTATGCCCTCTTCCCTGGGCATTTCATGAAACAATCAGGACATGTGGCAATGAAATGACTTGGAGCACTTTGGAGTCTAAAATGCAAACATCAAACTGCCTATAAACTTTAGAATACTTTGGCTTTAACAATTTTAGCTAGGATTAGTACAGGAAGCTGGATTCAGATCCTCAATGCTTTAATACACCTCAGGCTCAGTGCCTAAGATATTCAAGTATTTCCTCTTGGGCTCCCAGCTGGTGAGATAAAACATGCATGTTCTGCAGAACTGAGGACCACATTTTGTAGCAGTGGATCCAAGCTTGCTGCATAATTTCCATTAAACCACTGCGACTATCATTGCTAATCTGATGGCATCTTCCCCACTTGAAACGAAGGCAGAATCAAAAAACTGAAATGGCAACTTTTTCATTGGCTGGCAAGATTTTTAGCAGAATTAAATGCAGAACTAAACCCAACAAACATGTGGAACTGTCAGCAACTGCAAGCAGTTCTGACAGAAATGGCAGACTTTGGGATTTTCAAAGAAACTTGGAAACAATGGAGGCAAATGGGCAGAGCAGGGAGTTGTACTGATCTCCAAACTTCAGAGAAATGTCCAGGCACCTTCTGTTCTGCTCACAGTCTCCAGCAGAATATTGTATTCATGAATCTTTTCTTTGTGGTGCTTAAACTCTCGCCATAGCTTATCCAGCTCCTCATCAGAGAACTTCCCAGAGGTCTTGGCCTGAAAGAAACATGAGCTCATTATGCTTTTCAGGCAAAGCGCTTTAAGTGCATTCAACTGCCAAGACTCCTTCCCACTTCCCACCATATTTAGAAAATTATTAAGTCCAGCTTTTCCTTTTGTTTTAAATCCCTTCATATTAGTATAAGGTCAGGATTTAGACATCAATGGATATGGTGGCTTTAATCATGTCAAAAGGAAGTTTGCTGCACACTTACAAAGCTATACTTGCTATGGACTACCCAGTGAAAACTGTCATTTCTGTTCCATGGGAAACAATACAGGAATAAGGGCCACGGGGCTCCGTATGCAACTGTGAAGGGACTGTTAGCATGAGGGATGCAGCCTGATATTAAGCACAGTCTTTTCTTAATCTTACTCTACTGGCAAGTGAAGATTTTGTCACTGCTGTCCATTTGCTCTGCAATGATCTCCTCCTCACAGAACTACTTTTTAGCAATTTGGGAAGCACTGGTCAGGCGCTGGAGCGCTTCCCACACACCTGGTGACAGATTTGCTGCAATTCATGATCAAAAGTGAGTATTTTTGATACCTCTTCAGCCCCAGCCCGTTTTTGCTTAGGGAGTATTTCTATCTAATGCACCTTACTGTCCCCCAAAGCACATGACATCATGTCCCTTGCCAGAGCTATATCTAGTTACAGAAACATTTTAAAAGCCAGCAAATCTTTTCTTCTACTTTACTACCACTGCACTAGACTGGCATAAGAATTATTTTCTTTACCTGACTACTTGTTTCTTAAAACCTTAAATATTTAATTTTTGAAGATTATGACTTCACCAGTTTTAAGTACAGACTGACAGTACCCCTTCTATTGTTTATGCATTAATACTAATCCTGGAAATTTCCACTTGAATACCAGGTTGGGAAAGTCCTTACATAAAATCTTCCATAATACATTTCACTTTTAAACAGGCTATGAAATGGTTCTATTTCAAATGCATCTTTTTAAAAAAGCCCAGAAATAGTAAGAAAACCAGGAAAACCACCATACTACTAACACACAGTGGAATAGTCACACAGAGGGATCTGAGGTAAAACTCTGGTTGTCCTCAATGGACTCAGAATCTTAACCACCATGCAAATGGATATGGGTGTTTTTGGTGTTTTCTTTGGCAAAGACAACCTGCCACACCTGGTGACCTGCATGCAGGTGGGATGCCCTCAGGCCACAAAGATGTGAACTACAGAGCACAGCAGCTTGGCGAGCACTTAAAAACAGACTAGTAAAGCTATTCAGTTCCAAATATTGGGGCTCTCACAAGACACAGATGATAGTTCAATGAAGAAACACTCATTTCCTACACTCCAGTTCCTTACTCACCTTGCTCCATAATTTTTCCAGTCTTGGATCATCTAGTGTATCACTTTCTGTACCGTCTTTGATGTAGTTGGTATCAACTAGTTGAGAATCCTTCCTTCCATTCAGTCCATATTTAGTCATAATGACTGCAAGGGGATAGAAGATAAAGAAACATTAGAACCAACTATGAGTATATGGAAAATGAGAGACTGGCTACGTCCCTGACCTGCAGAGCTGGATTTTGCTGATCACAGTTTAATGACCTCTTCTGAAAACATCAGGAGCAAAGAAATCTGTTAGCCTCCTGCAGCTCCCTACTGACCTCCAATGAACGTGTGTGTGCTTAGTGTCTGGAAAGAGAACCTGTCAGTTAATGGTACAAACACAGGTATCTAACCATGCATGTGTCTGATGCAAAGTTTAAACTCCTGCAAAGATACACCTTACCATTTAAGTTGCGTCTGAGTTTGGCTTCCTTCTCTCCATCTTCATCTAGTCCTTCAGCCTTCAGTTTCTTCCAGCTTAGCTCATCCTTTTCTTGTATTTTTAGATCACTGTGCAGCTCTGCCAGTTTCACAGCAGAGAGATGAAGCTAAGGAGAACAGAGAAAGGTTTGTATTCAGTCACGTGGAGTCACCTCTTGCTGCAGTGTTACCTCAGAAGCCAGTATAGCATGTGCAGCCAAAATAGCACAGCATTTTATTTTCTTACACTCTAATGCTACGTATCCATGCAAATTTAATGGCTTTAAGTTGTGAGTCACTGCATACAAAACATCTCTTGCCCATGAATGTGGTTATGCCCCCAGCATACTAATGTTAACAGACAGTGATGGTGTAGCCTTCTCTCTCAGCTCTTCAGCTACTTGGCCAACAGCGAAATTATGTAAGGGTTAAAAATCTGTGTCTTTATTTGGAGTTTCTTCAAGTAATATTTAAATGGGATTTTCTGTCCGCTTTTAATGGTACTGCCTTAAAAATTAAAAATGTCCAGTACCAATAACAAAGAATGTAAAAAACCCCACCTATAAATTGTTTCGCTAATTCACAACAGGCAGTAACCACCAAATTGCTCCACCAACGTGCCATTGCTGCCACATGTGATTTCTTGAAAAACCACCTTCTACTTCTAGCCATATAGTTACAGGGAGTCAGTAAATGTTACTTGTCACTGTGGTTTAGCAGACTAGCAGGACACTGAGGATGGCCTTGCAGGTCAAAGAGCCACTTCATCAGCAATTTTACTATGATCAAAGTGCTGCATTTTCTATGATCACTTCTTAACATGGTTTATATGCACTAAAACCATGCAAAACCTAGAGGTATTACTGTCCCATTGTGACCAAAAGATATTGAAGCTGAAACTACAAAAAAAACCCCACCTACACAAAAATTTACATGAGTGGTAAGTCAGCTTGAAATTTTGTGAAATACAGAGAAAAAAGGAACAGACACAATGACTAATATGGAGTTGGGTAAGCAGTATGGCTGTAAGTTGAGCCTGAACTTCTTAACTTCCAGATTTTAGACACTTCAGTTACTCAGTTTAAACCAAGAAATATAACAAATCATATTAACGCTTACAATCTTTTTTTGCATGTGGTAAGGAAAATCCCAGAGAAGAGAGGAGATCAAAAAACATGAGCAGTGTGACTTCCAATACAGTTCTGAGCTGTCTCAGTCCTTCCACCATGATGTCCTGATTTGCTTTTCTGGAGCAGGATAACCTGGATAGCCAGCACAACATTTGTGCAGTGGCACAAAGTAACAGTGCTTTGTTCAGCAAGAATTCCACCCTCAGCAGGACAACACTGAAAAGTTAGATCTAAGCTGTGAAGGAAACACTCGATCCCATCAGCACTTCTGTTCTCTAGTGTCAGCACTGAAGTATTAGCTTAGGCTTAGCAAATCTGGGGTAAAAAAAATCACCAGGAATAACTTAGAAAGCAATTAATTCAGCTCCTAAGTACTTAAAAAATAGGAAAATACAATCTTTTAAATGTATGACTTAATCATCAGACACACACTATTGTATACAAGATCACACAGGGTAGTTTATGCTAGATATAGCATATCTAGCTGCAATTCTGCAGTTGTAGTGCAATCTCATAAATACATTTTTGTGTTTTCCAGAAGTCCTGAGAATATAAGAACTTCTAAACATAAAGTTTGGAGCCACCTCATGATCAATCAAACATTTTAAATTCTTAATAAAAACTAAGGAACTACATTAAGCTCTTTGTTCCTTACAGAAAAAAAAGAAAGATTCTATTAAAATTTCTCCCAATTCCAGTAATATTTTTCCAATTCTCATAATTTACTAACATCAGTCAGATGTTGGAATGAGAAGCAGAGGCGAAAAGTTTAACTGAATGATTAAATAACAAAGCACTGAGTTCCTTATGCTCATTCCTTATGCTACCTAGACATTAACATCCAAGATGGGTTCCTGCAAATCTGGGAACAAGTGCTGGAAATCCGTGAAACACGACAGCAATTAAGTAATTTGCTGGCTACAATCATTACCTGCAGTATCATCACCTACACCCTTGCTTCTGAGAAGAAGGGTTCTTTATACAATTTTTTTAGGTGTAACATGCCCTAAACTCTGGAGCCCACTGCTTCTCTGGGATGGCCATAAAGCCTGGATAATAAGTGATGCTAGAACTAGACCAATGACAACAACCACAGCACAAGGACCTGTTAAGAGACTAGCAGGCCAAACCACATACCTAAGGAAACCTACCTGTTTGTCATTGTTTCAAAAAATTACAGAATTAGGGTCTCACTAAGAAGAAATATTGTATTAAAAACAAATTTTAAAGTTTTTATATAAAAATTACACCTATTAAAAGAGAAGCTGGAGGAAGATCAAACCCTCCCTCAGTGAAAGAGGAAGGAATTCTGGCTTGCTGGCTTCTGATTCCACTAAGTGACGTTTTGAGGCTTTCTGAAGGACTGTTCATCCAGCTGCCTGTTGCAATGCTGAACTGCAGTATCCACCTTTTATGCCAAAACAAACAAGTTCCTTATTTTCAGTACTATGTCCACCACTACCAAAATGAAGGAAATAAAAGAGTTCAGCATTTGGCACACAGCATTTCAAAGCAGGTCTAACACACAGGCATAGTTTTCGTCTTATTTCAGACCTTGCACAGTTGTACTAAAATATCACCTTCTAAAACACAGGCTGGGTATCAACTCTACTCAAAAGGGAAACTTAAGATGGTTGCTAATTTAGTTCAAGTAGGTGTTGTTGCTGTAAAATCTGGAAAATTTGAATTCCAGAAGATTCAGGTATCAAATGAAAAAACAGACTGCAATTGGAAAAATGAAAGGAAACTGAAAATACTATCATTGTAGCCTATTTCTGGTGTCCATGTCGTTCCTTCTTCAGTTGTAACTTCAGAGCTGGAGTTTCATTATCACATACTGTTCTATACCCCATCCCATCCTTCTCCCATTAAGTATCTGTGATACCTTCTTTTGGCAAGTTGTGAGGCAGCATTATGGCAGAGGTTCTATTTCTTTTTACTAAACCCAGGGATGTCCTGCCTCTAATTCAATAGCTCAGGCTGGAGGATGTCTACCCAGGATACCAAGAATTAACATTGACTATATTCCTTTGTTGAAAGAACTGAACTTTTATCAGCCATGACCCTAACTTCTATGCCCCACAATATTCAGGGGATGATTATGGCTGTACAGTGCACTCCTCCCCTCCTGTTGGAGCTGTTCTGTGTTTTACTTAGCTGCAATTATGTTTCCCCTCTAATAAAAATATTTTTATTGTATTTTTCACTTCAAACTTTGTCTTTTTGTTGTTGTTTTTAGCTCAGAATGAGAAAAAACTCCAGTACCACCGTCAAAATCAAGGCTCCCATCTGGGGGTGGTGATAACCATTAGCTTTGTCCTCCTGCAGGTGACTACATGGCTCCGTGCAAGCGGAGGTGACACAACCACCCAGGTGGAGGGTTTCTCACTCTCCTGTCCCGTGCAAAGCAGGATCTCAGGACACCTTCAGACACTCGAGAGCAAAACCACCCCTAACAGAAGGGCTAGACCCCCCCAGCCGCGGGTGCAGGAGCCCAGTCTCAGATCTTCCACGGCACCAAAAGGGCTTCTTCCCTCTCTCTCCCCCACTGCCTGGATTTAAAACACGGGGAGATCAAACCCGCCATGACGACAGCTCCATATGGCAGAAGAGGGGAAGGAGATGCCTCCTCCGAGAAGACCTGACACAGCACGGCGCGGGGCTCCTGCCTGCAGCCGCCCTGGCAGCCCTGACACCCAGCCCAGAGGCCCCGCGGCCCAACACGCACCCGCGGCCTCCCGCGGCGCCGACGGGCCTCGCTTCCTCCTCACACACAATTCCCGGCTCCAGCCTCCCCAT